CACAATGATGGTGCCAACTTGGGCCAGTGAAGCAACATCCTCCACAACTAGACTGAAGAACAAAACGACAGCAACTTGTCTGTCCCCCTTCCCCTAATTCCCCAGCACTGTTCCCATCCCCCCCAATTCACCAATAAAAATCTTTAAAAAAAAAAAAAAAGAAAACTAATTTAAGCATCTCTCAGAGATTACACTGCCTGACCAAATCATCCCGGAAGAAAGCAGAATATTGGAACCTGGAAATCTCTTTTCACAGGACCTGGGTTGTGTTGGCTGCCCATCTTGCAGCCTCAGATACTTCTGGTCCCGGTAGGGCGCCCCTCCCAGGTTGGCACACTGTGTCCTGCCTGGTGACAAAGTAGGGGTGAGCACATGTTTTCTGTAAAGGACCAGTCGTAAATATTTTAGGTTTGTGGTCACATGCAGGCCCTGTTGCATATTCCTTCCCCACTTTCAACATGGAGAAACCTTTCTAAGTTACCAGGCCTGGTGTGGTATAGCCAGCACCACTAAGCTCTGTGGGGCCGTTTGTGTGCGCTCATACCGTGTCTCTCTCTCTTCTGGGCAGGGACGGAATCCCACCGTACAGGATCCGCAAGCAGCACCGCCGGGAGGTGCAGGAGAGCGTCCAGGTCAACGGGCGGGTGCCTCTACCTCACATTCCCGTAAGTGCCACTGCACGGCCTTCGCCCCCCCACCCCTACTCCGTCTTTAGCCCTCTTGGGTCTGTGCCCATCCGTTTTTCCCCATTCTGACTGGGCTGGTGTTGCACTGGCCAGTGGGAAAGGTGCCTGCCTGGCTTCCTGGGAGCTCGGCTCACGTGCAGGTGTAGCACGTGGCCACTCGATCACGCCCTGCAGGCTATACGGGGCAGCGAGGGCCCAGTCCGCAGGTCAACTCAGAAGAGCGGGCAGTACCCTTCTGTGGTGCCTACCATGTGGTCTTCTGCCATTGTGTCAAGCCCTGAGGTGGGAGAGCAGCCGCAAGCCTTCCTCCCAGGCTTCACACTCAGGCCTGGCCCCTGCCTAGCGCCTGACTGTGACTGTTGGAAAGCCTGCCGGTGCCTCTGGGCACTCCCATCACAAGTTACCGAGAGTGCCACCATGATCAAGATAAAAGCAGGCACTGGCCTTTCTGTGGCTGAATGGTCAGAGTCACCACGGGGGCATCCTGATGGCAAAGCTGCCTCAACTTCACCTCTTGGCTAAAAATAAAAAGGTGATAGCGGTTCTCCTGATTGTGGGGCTCACCGAACCCAGTGCCAAATGAGCCGGGCACAGCCTGTCTCTACCTGCAGAGAGTTCCTTTGTCGATGAGCGGAGTGATTAGCTTTCCTTATATTGACACATTGACTTTGAACGGGAAAGACTTTTAGGCGAAGATAAGAAAAACTTACATTAGAGGCTCCACCTGTGGTGCTTGTAGCATCTGAGGGAGACGCATGCCGCTGGCTCCTAAGTGTTTCTATGCAGGGAAAGTGGTGGTTTCTTAGGATCACAGCACAGCC